TTCCTGATCCAGCTCACAGAACCTTCCAATATATCCAGCAGGGCAGAGGCACACGGGTTGCACAGGGTCCTCACTGCAAATACCCCCGTGTTGGCAGGAGCTTGGGCCACAGGAACCGATGGCGGTTTCGCAGGTCATCCCAGAGTATCCAGGAGAACATTCGCACAGAAAGCTCCTTTCTCCTGGGGTGTTCACACAAGTGGCATTTCCTTGACAGGGGTTGGGGAAGCACGGATCAGTCACGTTGTCACAGGCTTTGTCTGCACAATGGCAATTGTTGTCTTTTGCAAAATCATGGCACGTTGAATTGTTTCGGCAAGAATTCGAGAGGCACCTGGTGTCATTTTTATTGCAAAAGGAATCTGCAAGGAAAGCAAAAGTATCGATGAAGCTTACAAACAAACAGTCGAGGAAAAAATTAAAGGACTCCTTTCCTCACGTTATCTCAAACAAACTATTAACGGAACACATAGTTTCTGTGTCCTAATGATGAGTTTTGTCACTAACGACGATTTTTACAAATTTTATCTATAGAGTCTTTCTGGCAGTCAACAGTTTTCCTCCAGTGCCTATGCATAGAAAGCTCATATATCTTTGGGAAGGTTGATCTGAGAGCAAACTTTTCCTGTGCCCTTTCCTGTGGTAAAACTCGGCTAATCATTCTTTTACTTTAGATTTGTTTTCGGACGCTGGCTGTCCTCACACACCTGTAAATGCATGACTGGCTTCTCACCGTTCACGTCTTAGTTCCAGGGTCACGTCCTGAGAAAAACTTTTTCTGAACTCCTCTAAACTCTTTCCGTTTTATTTTGTATGGCATTTATCTCTCGAATGTTCTCATTTCTTTGTCTGTGTGTTTCTCTGTTGTCTGCTTTGTTCATTAGAATGCTAGCTCCGTAGAGGAACAGGAGAGATCTCGTCTCAGTATTTCCCGGGTCCTATAACATCACCTGTCACAGAACACTTATTGGGAGGAAGGGGGAAAACGTCCCAGCAGAAACGTGCAGCGTGCTGAGCCATCACAGGGGCCAGGGAAAGCAGGCTGGGGAAAGCCTCGGTGAAGAAAAGGTACTTGGCATATCTTTGAAATGAACACGAGTGAGGGAAGGGTATTATTCGCAAAAGCTTGAACAAAAGCATGAGAGGTATTGGCATTCTCTGTCAATAACAATCACGATAGGCCGATTTATAATCTGGTCACACACCATCCATCACTATGTTTACGTGCACGGTCTGAATGACGTTTTCAGCACCGGTTCCGGACAAGGTCATCCGCCAAGCACGTGTCTTCACTGGGTCCCCGGGGTGCATGCTGTCAGCCACACCATTAGCACCGGTTGCTACCTGGGTTTATGGGCGTTTCTAAAGGTGAGATGCTAACAGACCCTCCTGGGACCCAGGTATTATCAACTGATGCTTCACCTGACCGTACTAAAGAAGCAAAGACAATCGCCCGTCAAAAGAAAATTATGTTTTTCAAACATATAAAGGAACTGCAATTGACTGCCTTATTAAAAAGAACAAATTAAATAGCCAACCGAGGAAATAAAAGCAGACTCAAGTAAGGGTTATAATTATTCCATTTTCGTGCACTCAAATTAAAAAATCTGTCATATGTATTATTATATTGTACCTAGTACAAAATGTGCATGCTCGTGAACAATACAATCATTTTCATCGTGGTAAAACCTTTAGAACATTTAGACTTAACTGGACACGCACACACACAACCTTATAGGGCTATTTAAAGTTATCATTGGAATCAAGTTCTCAGGAAAATGGCCATAGAGAATTTCATTTCCAGCTTTCATATGGGACTTAGACACAGGGTAAGACACTTGACTGGATGTCAAGTGGGATTGATATTTCCAGACCGATTTTTTGGGTCTGCCAGATTGTTTCCTTGCAGTAAAGTACGCCATCTACTGGACAGTTTAAGAAGTTCTGGAATAAGAGAGTTTTAGGCTTTTTCTTTTCTAAGTGCAGCACAAATCCTCTGAGGAAAATGTCATAAGTGATGATCCCAACACACAAAATGAGAATGTGGCCCCAGCTCAGGTTGGGAGAGCAGGAGCCACCCCTGCTGCTGGTCACTGAGTCCCCTGTTCTTTGTGAAGGCATCTCCAAAGGGCCTTGTGGGTCAGCGGCACCAGCTCGAAAATCTCTCTTCAAGAGAAAATATAAAATATTTTATGTAGTTACTGTAGGCAATTCTTTTTGTATTTGCTATTTTGGTATTGGAGTGCTAAAGATATGTGTGTATATTTTTAATATAAATATACATTATACATATATATACACACATATATATACACATATATATGAGCTATTTTGACCAGTTTTAAAGATAATGATGCCCAGACATTGAAGTATTTATTGTGCATGTGTGTCTTTTCTAATAATTCAAGCTACTTGGAAACAGCCATATTGGTAATCGAGCTCAGTTATAAGGTGGAGGATATTTATTCAGAGCAATGAAAAACTATAAGGAGAGCTCAGGGAAGAGCATTTTAGCTTCTCAGAGATTTTCATAAACAGTATTTCTTCCTTTGTCCTCGGTGGTTTTAATGCATTTATTTATGAAACACACAGGTGATTCTCTGATATAAAAATCATCAATCGAGAAATCTGAACATTTAGCAATAACGATAGTAACAATATTAACCAAAAAAAAAAAAAAAGAAGACAATTCACTAACACGTTTTCGTGCAGGAACTTTGTTTTAGAAACAAAACACAAACCAAGGGTGTCCTTTCCCAGAGAGTCTGTTGATGGACTAATTCAACACGCCGTAGGCATTTTCTCCATAAAGCACCCACGCTTGCTCCGAATCAAACGGAGATAAATGCGGATTAGACCTAAACCTGTTCTCCAGGGGCTGTTTTTCACAAGAAAATCGTTAACATCTCACCGTATAGCTTGAGTGCCGTTTAAACTTTGGGCTCAGGGAAATTTCTGACGAAGCGAGAGTCGCGATAGGGTTGACCCGTTTGAAGGGTCTGATAGGGCTTTGTTGTCCTCAGCAACGACTGCTGCACGACAAAAGCTCAGTCAATATTTCTTGGGTATTAACTGTCGAAGCCACGAGCTTTGCCTCGAAGAGTCGCCTCGCGGTATAGACTTTGTGTATGTGTATGTATGTATATATCGACCCTGGTTTTATATATTTCTATTTAAATCTCCTCTTACCCCAACTATTCTTAGTGTTTTCTCTCGAATTTACGACCTCCTTCTCCCCATATGACGCTCCAGCCATCTCTGTCTCTGGTCCTTGTTTCTATTGATGTGAAGAATCAAATCTATCTTTTGTTAAGAGGAAGGAAGGGTGGGTGGAACCATGGTTCTCACCCATCTCTGAGCCGGGTCGGATCTCTGTCGTTAGGGTTAGGCTGTTGGACCAAGTGCCTGCTGCCCCTGGCGGCAGTCACGCACGCTCCCCGCGCAGAAGGTGCCTGTCCTTTGTCAACCTGAGAACATGACTAAATGATGCAAATAGTGAAGATCATTTTCACTCAATGTCACTCATCGCAAATTTTAATGAGCGTCTAATTATGTTCCTTTGACATTAAATTCATTTAAAGCTAATCAAGCCTGGATCTGTGACCTTATTAGGATCCGTGTATATGTTGGTAATGACAGGCTTTTAAATGGCCGTTTTTACTTTATGGACTAGATCTACGTTTGACTAGCTCCTTTGCCTCCAGCAAACTGAAATCCCCACAGGAAAGCTAAAAATGTTTTCAATGGAAAGAAAAATAAAAGTTTGTCCTTACTCCATAAAGCCAATTTTTTAATTGACTGATGATCGACAGATATCATTTCAGCATTAATTATGAAACCATTGTACAGAAGGATGTAGCTACATGGCTCTTTTGTTTTAAAAGGGGCCTGAAAGTTATATTTTCTAGAATTATCAAAACGTTAAGGATATTATATATAATTAAAGTTAATGAAAAAAATTAAACAAAATAGATAAAATAAATAAAAACTGCCCTCCAAACTTTAGCCCATTGCATTGTCCACTGAAATAGTAAGAACAATATTAGAATGGAAAAATATTAGGATGATCTAATTTTTCAATTTTATGATTGATATTATAAAAGTGCCTCCAATTTAATTGGTTCCCCGGGATACATGCTTCACCCTCAATGTCTCGTTTAATCCCTACAGAAAGCCGATGAGGTTGGAGGAATGATAGCCATCTCATAAGTAAGGAACTGGTGTTCAGGAATGGTAAATAACTTGCCTCATTTTGTGTAGCTAATACGTGATTATGAGGGTGCCAAGACTTCTAAACATTTATTTGAATAAATCCAAACGAAAAGGAGATAGAATTGTAAAATGAAACATCTAAAAGATTATCTCGATAGGCAGGACCCCATCTTTATCGATCCCCCAAACCACAGAAGATCCCATTAACTGCGAATTCGGGTTCAGTGGTTCTGGGGTGAGGTGTGAGGGCCAGCATTTATAATAAGCTCCCTGGGATAGGGGTGCTGCTGCTGGTCCATCAGCTACCCTGTAAGAGCAAGCATTTGCATCAACGTTGTCCTAACGGCGTACCTGAGCCACATCTGTAATGTTAAGTCTTCGAGTAAAAAGTATAATTAAAAAGGAAAAACAAATGGGTAAAAGTAACCTGAATAATATATCTTGCTTAACCAAATATAACTTAGACGCTATCATTTCAATGCGTAATTAGCATTCAAAACGAACACGATAGTTACTTTTCTTCCATGCTATGTCTCTAAAATCCCACGTGTATTCTACATTGACAGCACATCTCAAGTCCAGCTAAGGCACATTTCAAATGCTCAAAAGCCACACGTGATTGGTGGTCGCGCTATGGGACAGTGCAGATCTTGACGGTTTTCTCATATTTTTGTACAGAGAACTAAGGCCTAGAAAAACAATGAGTGGTTATGACTGTCAGTAAGCTATTAGCCCTCCAAGATTAAGTTGTCTTTTTACGACATGACTATAGCAGTTGCCATGAACACAAACATTTCAAAGTAAGTTCTAAGAGTTTATTCATTATGACGTGTGCTCAGATCGTAAGCCACGAGAAGCCTCATGCAAGACATACTCTTCCCCTGGCTCTTCCTGTGGCTCAGCCTTCTCGTTGGGCTCCTGGCCTGAGCAGCCACAGAACCTACATCGTTAAGACACAGTTTCACGTGTACCTGTGGGTTTTCGAAATTCTCCTCTGTTTCGTGGATGGAGACTTGTCTTTACTCTTAGCAAATGAACTCTGAGTTCAGGGATGATAATGTACCCCTCTTGAGTGTGTCTGTAGATGGGTTCTGTGTATTCAGTTCAATCACACTTTGAGCACTAGCTCCTGAATGGTGCAATACATACG